AAGCCCTGCCATAGAGTAATTATCAAAATTAAGAAATCAACATGGGAGGTGGCAGCAGTGTGGAGGGGGTTAATGGGGGAATAGAGTAATTATCAAAATTAAGAAATCAACATGGGGGGTGGCAGCAGTGTGGAGGGGGTTAATGAGGGAATAAAAAGGACATCTGTAATACTCTCAACAATAAAGATACATTTTAAAAAATCAACATTGGTACAATACTCTTAAAAAAAATTTTTTTTTATTGATTTCAGAGAAGGGAGATGGAGAGAGAGATAGAAACATCAATGATGAGAGAGAATCATTGATCGGCTTCCTCCTGCACGCCCCACCCTGGGGATCGAGCTTGCAACCCAGGCTTGTGCCTTTGACTGGAATCGAACCCACTACCCTTCAGTACGTAGGCTGACGCTCTAAGACTGAGCCAAACCAGCTAGGGCAGTATAATACTTTTAGACTAGACTTGAATCCACATAGTCACAGCTCCTTAGTCTCTTCCAACATGTGACAATTTTTAGGTCTTCCTTGGATTGCATGATCCTGATACTTTCGAATAGCAAAATGCCCATTCTGATGTTTTGTCATGATAGGGTTTGTTGGATATTTTCTTATGAATAGATTGAGGTTATACATTTTTGGGAAGGATACCACAGAGACGATATAACCTCAGTGCATCATACCTGGTATGCAATCTATTCCTGGTTGTATTAAGGTATCTATTGTTGCAATAACACTTACCTCACAACTTAGTGGATTAACACTGATTTTCTCACAGATTCTATGGGTCAGGAATCCAAGCACAGTTTAGCTGGTGTGAGCAGGGGTGGCTGTGGTCTAATTTGAAGGCTTGACTGGGGCAGGATCTACTTCCAAGCTCTCTCAGGTGGCTGCTGGCAGGATCCAAGTACTAATAGGATGTCTGAGGACTGCAGTTCTTTGTTGGGGGTCTCTCCATAAGGCAGCTCACAACATAGCAGCTGGCTTTCATCAATGAACAAGTGAGCAAACAAGGCAGAAGCCAGTTTCTTTGCAACCTCATCTCAGAAGTGATATTCCACCACTTCTGCCATGCTCTATTTGTTAGAAGCTAGGTCGCCTGTACTCAAGAGGAAGGGATTACACAAGGATGTGAATACACAAAGACGAGGGGATCATTAGGGGCCATTTTAGAGGCTGCCTACCACACTTGCAATATTAACGTTGATCACTTGGTTAAAGCAATTTCTGAACTTACTATTGTAATAATACTTTCAAGGGATACTTTGAGATTGTGCCCTCTCAACATGCTTCCATCCTTTTTATTCTGGCACTTCTTACCTCCTGACACCACTAGATGCACCATGCCCAGCTGGTATTTTCCCTGCCCTGGCTCTAGAACCAATCACTTCTCCAAGACGCTCTAGTTCCTTTCATTGGAGAATGTTATTTAGAAACAAAGATCTGGGTGCTGGACATGCTCATTGCACCTGGGGTGTCACTGCTTCTGGTCCCTCTAAGTGGAAAGAGCAAGAAAATATATGTATGCACACATATCTGCATGTCTATATACATAGTAAATAAAAACCATGAGTCCACACTGATGCCTCTAACTCTAATCCAGTCCCACAGGTTCATTCTAACAACACCCTTCCACCCTTCCTGCCTCATTTTATTTGTAACTTTAAAAACAACATATTTTTATTGATATCAGAGAGAAAGGATGAGGGAGAGATAAAAACATCAATGATGAGTCATTGATTGGCTGTCTCCTGCACACCCCACACTGGGGATCTAGTCTGCAACCCAGGCATATCCCCTGACCGGGAATCGAACCATGACCTCCTTGTTCTTAGGTGGACACTCAACCACTGAGCCACGCTGGCTAGGCTATTTGTAACTTCTCCAGCAGTGAGAAACCTGGATCTCACTACCTACAATATATTTACCCATTTGTTCAACTGTGTGTGTGGATACATATGTATGTTTCAGAATTATTAAATCATGTCCCTGTGAGAAACATATTTACCAACTAGAGTGCAGTGTTTTTCTACACTTCTTTTTGTCTTTAGCCTTCTCGTATCCTAGCACATACTTTCCCCAAACTTAGGTCAGCTGTCTTTCCCACCTTCTTGTGTGTGTGTGTGTGTATTCACCTGAATAGTCAGGGAACTTCACCTATTTTATTTAGGTTTTCATTTTTTCAAATTCCAACCCAAAGCTAAATACAATTGGAAACCAGTAAGCACTAAGTTTGCTCCAAAAGAGTAGGATCATTCAGATTTAATCCAATAAAGTATCTTTCCCACCTTCTTCAGTGTGGTCATGTGATTTATTTGTAATACAAGCAGATTCATTAGACGGCCTGCATTCCATTCCTTCCTACATTGTTTCTGACAGAGTCCTGCATCCACCACCACAGTTCCATCATCACAAGATCCCTCCATACTGCCCTTTTATGTAAAAAAATAACCAATAAAAATACCAATGAAAAAAGAATGAGACATATAATTTTTCATGGAAGGATATCAAAAGCATAAAAAACAAACTGATGCATAGTATGTGAATATTATAGAATGTATAATTATCCCTATTTTATGAAAACTATAGGTTATATTTCAGAAAATGTCTGGATTCACTCAAATATGTTAATAACTGCCAGTGGTGGGAGGGGGGATGTTAATATGAAACAATTTTTGTTGTTGTTACTCCTCACCTGAGTAATTTTTTCCATTGATTTTTATAGAGAGTTGAAGGGAGGGGGAAGATACAGAGAAAGAAACATCGATGTGAGAGAGAGATATTGACTGGTTGCCTCTCACACTTTCCCTGACTAGGCCAGGGATGGGCCTGCAACGAGGCAGATGCCCTTGACCAAATCCAACCTGGGACCCTTTAGTCCTCAAGCCAAAGCTCTAACCACTGGGAAACCAGCTAGGGCTGAAACAATGTTTGACAAAACATTTGGATATTTTTTACAAGCAGATATTGCATAGTTATCTTTTTTTAAAAAATATATATTTTATTGATTTTTTACAGAGAGGAATGGAGAGAGACAGAGAGTCAGAAACATCGATGAGAGAGAAACATCGATCAGCTGCCTCCTGCACACTCCCCACTGGGGATGCGCCCGCAACCCAGGTACATGCCCTTGACCGGAATCAAATCCGGGACCCTGCAGTCCGCAGGCCGACGCTCTATCCACTGAGCCAAACCGGTTTCGGCGCATAGTTATCTTTTAAAAGTAAAACTGAAGTTTATACAAATGCGCTGAAAAAGTTCTGACCTCAGGAGAGAAAGGGGTGAGGAAAAGGGTTTTACTTTTTGCACATATTTTCTATGCCGATTTGAAATGATAAGGAATCACCCTGTCAAGGCTGTCATGTAGTTTATTTATTTTGCTTTACTTGAGGCCTTAATTTCTTTTTATATATTTTTAATTAAATTTATTGGGGTGACATCTATCCTATATAATAAAAGCATAATATGCAAATCAACCAAAGGGCCAAACAGCAAAACAACCATCTGGGAGCTGCTATGACACCCACTGGCACCAGGCCAGCCAAGGCGGGTGTGATGCAATTGGTCGGGGGCCGGCCATCACCCCATGATTTCCCTGCAGAGGGAGGCCCAGGCCACCAACAGGCAGGCTGTGGTGGGTGGGCAGGGCCTCCCTCTTCGAGAGAAGCTGGTGCTGGCAGCCGGGGGAAGGAAGGCCTACTCTTGCATGAATTTCGTGTATTGGGCCTCTAGTCTATAATAATAAAAGCATAATATGCTAATTAGACTGGAGGTCCTTCTGGACAACCTTTTGGATGAAGCCTGGGTGCCAGGTGCCAGAGGGAAGCCGGTGCTGGCAGGCGGGGAAAGGAAGGCCTATTCTTGCACAAATTTCATGCATCGGGCCTCTAGTTGGTTAATAAAAGGCTGTCCTGTAGTTTTAAAAAAAATTTTTTAACAGGTCAAAGGGGGACACAGGGTTCTAAGGGTAGTGGAAAACAGACATGTCTTAGGGATAGAAGGGAAGCCAAGAGGCAGGTAGAGAGACCAAAGGGAAACCATTCTCAACGGATTCCAGGCCAGCAGCTTCCCAAGCAGCTGGCAGGTCATCTCCCCAGAAGCTTGGAGGTGAAGGGAAGGCAGAGGCTGGCAGGAGCTTGGGGGCAGGGGGGGGGGGCGTGTCAGGGGGAGCAGTGGGCTAGAGCTGTGTTGAGCTACTGAGTAGGATAGGGCAGGTCAATATAGTGTGGGGCATGCAGGAAAAAGAACAGAGCAAGGTTCTGGGTGAAGCTCTTGAGAAGGGTTCCAGAATATGGCTCTGGGAAAAGACAGACAAGGTCGGCCCCAGGATCTGTGGCTAAGGGAACAGAGGTGGGGTGCTTGGTGTCCTGACTACTCACACCTGGGAGAAGACCGGAGCCAGCTGGTAACACCATGTAACAGACATCCTTGCTGCTCTAACTGCATTTCTCAGAGATGTGGGTGTCATCATGGTACCCCATTTTAGAAGAGGAAACTGAAGATCAAAGGAAGCTGACGACTCCAAACCCCACTACTAATCATCAGTCAAAATTCAGCCTATGCCACACTATTTTGCTCTGTCCACTAGGATTTCGTAAGTGCTAAGAATTGTAGATGCTTAACCTCGTTTTCTCTCAGCTACACTTTGCAACACGACCATGAACTATCAGTTCCAGTTTGGAAAAGGAAATGCAGGTTAGAGAGGTCAGGAACTTGCCCAGGGTCATTGTTGACGTAAGAGCTGGGATTCCACCCATAGTCTGTCTCAATCCAGAGCCTGTATTCCTAACTACATCACTGTCCCTACCCAGAGGGCTCTGGGCCTCTTAGGGTGACAATCATCTCAGACCTCTTGCCCTCCACAAACCCACACCGGCTCCCAGTCTCCTGGCTGGCTCTTCCCTCACCGACCCAGTCAGTCTTGAATTCTGAATGGGCAGCTGGGTACTGACAGTACAGTGACCACCAGATACCAGACAGGCCTCAGTCAAACATGACGACAGTGAAGCTGTTCTACGTTTTTATTAACATGACTTTTTAAAAACAAGCATCCATACCAGGGCAGGGGCTGAGAGCGGGAGGAGAGGGGCGGGGGGACCGGGCACGGGGAAGGAGTTCCGCTTTATTGGTAATAAAGCTCCAGGTTCATCCCATCATGGATTTCATCTGGAGGGAAGGCGTTAAGGAGCCTTCGCTGTGGATTTGGCCCCCGCCCTTTCACCTCTCACGGCTGGGCCAGGGTGGCCGGCTCGCTCAGCCCGGGGCCAAGGAGGCCATTCTGGACCGGGTCACTTTGTTTGGAAGGAACACAAACTATGACATTTCATGCTCCTTTTGCACCGCAGGCATGGCGGAGTCTCACTCCACCGCGACCTCCTTCAAAGTGTCTTCTAAGCCTCAGAATATTTGACCAACCAACCACCTTCCTCGCCCAGCATAACAATGACACGACTCCCAACAGCCAAGGTTGAGAACCACTGCTCCAAATGCTCACTGCGTGCTACAAACTCGGGGAGACTCCTTAGGGCACAGCCTCCGACAGACAGACCCCGGGTTGAACCAAGGACCAGGACGCGGCGTGGAGCCCCGTCCTCCAGAAACCACACAAAGGATACAGTCGCCCAGAGAAACGTGGTCCTTAAAGATCGTGTACCTGCGGGACAGACACCTTTCAGACAGA